ATATATATATATATATACATCGCGTTCATCGTCTCCCGAAGAAGACGAAGAAGAAGAGAGGGCGAATTCATGGACCATATTGTATTCGAACTGACGTTTCGGAAACTTCCTCGTTTCCATCATCAGAGTAGCGTAATTGTTGCACTTGGCGGTCTTGAGTTGTTCAGTCTTGCCGTTTGCCTCGTATTATAGCCGTGCTCGACGCACGAACTTTGACCTGCCTGTTTGCCGCTGACTGACTTAGACCTCCCGGGGGCTGACCGTTGACAGGCCTGCGTGACATTTGTTCTCTTTTGGGTCGGCGTAATTGTGGTCAAGTCAACGTGCCGCTTGGCCTCTCCCACGTCAGCCGGTGGACTGATCGGTCGTTGCTGTTCAAGTGAGCAGCATTCAGCTTCGCGGGGGCATCGGTGAGACAGTGTTCGGCTTTGGTCACATGACCTGTGGCCCCCAATTCCGCTCTTTACCGTGAGCGTTGACTCTCGGTCCCGCGTGCTCGCTTGCCTTACTGGTCCTGTCCGGACTGATCCGAGCCTTGTACGAAGCGCCTGGTAGGCGGGATGTAGATCTATGGCTCGGTTGAGTGTACCAGTCGAGGACCAACTTTCGAGCACCAGTCTGGCCATCTCCTCATTGGCTCGAACAATCACCCTCGCTTTCTCAAAGGCAAACTCGTGGTTCAGTTCTCGTATGTGGCCATAGACCAAAGACAGCTTGTCTTTGCGGTTGATTGCAAGTTGGTGTTCGTGCAACCTTGTACCGAGGCGTTTGCCCGTTTCACCAACATACCTTGCATTGCAATTTAGGCATGGTATGCTGTAGACCACCGCCGACTGTTCTGTTGTTGGTAGCGGGTCTTTGGGCTTCATGATTTGCTGTCTGATGGTGCATTCTGCTTTATGAGCCTTGCCAGTCCCAAAAGGTTTCAGGATTCTTGCCGTTGCCTCTGATACGTTCTTCACATAGGTTATTGAGAGCCAGAACTTGGGCTTTTCTCTACTCGACCGCTCAAAATGAGGCTTTTTGAGGCAATTGCGTATGAAGGACTTCGGGTAGCCGTTGGCTTTAAAAAGGGCCTGTAAGTAATTCATCTCCTCCTTCCTCCCACTGTCGTCGCTACAGTGTGCTTGAACACCTTGAAAGAGAGTTCTGACACAACTGCGTTTATGACCAACAGGGTGGTTGCTTCGGAAGTGGAGGATGCGCCTAGTATTTGTTGCCTTACGGTAAACCGTTGTCCTTAAATTCCCGTCTGTCAATCTCGTAACTTGTACGTCCATGAAGGGCAACTGATTGTTGACTTCCTCTTCCATAGAAAACTCTATGTCGGGAAAGATGGAGTTCAACAATGCCTTGAAAGCCTTCACCTCGCTCCTCTTGATTACAACGAACGTGTCGTCGACGTATCTGGGCCAGATCTTCGGGGTGTACGAGCTGAAGACCTGCTGCTCGAGTCTCTGCAAAACTGCTTCGGCAATTAGTCGAGACAGAGGCGAGCCCATCGGTGTTCCCTTCTTTTGCTAGTAGGCTTGGCCGTTGAATGTAAAGGTCTTAAGACACAGTTCTAGGAACTCGAAGATGTCTGCTCGTTTGAGGTGTTGGTCGGCCTCATCATACCTTTCCCGTAGAAAGCCATAAATAGTGTCGATAGCCAGCGCGGGTGGGATGGAGGTGAATAATGAGATCACGTCAAATGACACCATCACCTCATCTGCCTCCACTTCGAGATGTTTGGGGCGCGTCAAGAACTCTTCAGCCGAATTCACTGTCCACTCCGAATCCTTGGTAAGGAAACAAAGTCGTTGGTACAGCCACTTTGACAGCCCAGAGTTTGGAGTACCACGTAAGGGGACGATGGGGCGTAGTGGCACCCCCTGCTTGTGGACCATTGGTAGGCCGTAGAAGCGCGCCATCGCGGTATCACTGGCTTTTGCGGCCAATGCTTCCCTTCTCGTAAGAGCTCCCGCCTTCCTCAGCTTGCCGATCGTATTGTTTATGCTGTTTACGAGCTTTTTAAACTCGCTGACGCTCGATGGCGCATAAGCTTCCTTGTCCATCAAGAGGTTGCCTAGTTTTGTGCAGTACTCAGCCTTATCCATGACGACAGTCGAGCGCCCCTTGTCGGCGGGCAGGGTGACGATATCCTTTATTTTTCGTATCTTCGGAAGTTCTCGATCTTCTGCTTTAGAAATCGTCATCTGGCGTTTGTGTTGGAGGAGTAAGGTCGACACTTGTTGTGGCATGGCGTTTTTGCACTCCTCGCCTGCCTCACACTTCTGGAGCGCCGATTCAAAGGAGGCAGTAAAGTCTTCCGGTCGAGCATCTCTTGTGCTGAACTTCGCGTCATAGGATAGAACCGCTAGTTGTTGCTGAGTGAAACGATGAGAGGACAAGTTGTGAACCAAGGCAGCGTCAGTAGAGGGCTGCTTTGGCGGACTTATTTTCTCAAATTTTCCAGGCAACTGGTCATCACGCAACTTGCGGTGATGCCGTGCGCTGTCGAGAATTGCCGCTTTGAGGATCCCCAGCTCGTGTGCCGTAAAGGTCGACTGACAAGTTGACGAATCATGTTCAATCATCTGGCGGTACTTGTGGATGCGGGCGTGGCAGTCTCGTATCAGTACCCTGATCATCTTCCTCTTGAAGTCTGCCATCGTCCGTCGGCAAAGGTCAGTGTTCACAGGCGGTCTATATCTGAGGCATATCGATATATGTACATATATATGTGGAAGAAGGAGATAAGGCGTTCTCTGGGGAGGAAGATTTAATCGTTTGACGTTTCATACTCGTTCTCGAGCACATCATCGGAGGCAGGCCAAATGAGAAATACATGGTTTAAATAGGCCATTCGTGCTCGGGCCTGATAGGCCGATCCCGCTCTCTTATTGGCCCTCCTCTCGCGCGCAAGTGGTGCCTGATGGCCTCGTATGGCGCTGGTAGGTCAATACTGCAGTTAATCGAGTTGGCGCCTGATTGCCAGGCTTCGATTACTTCTCTCGCCAGCTTGCTTTCGGCTCGGCCGAGCACTTGGGCACCGTCAAAGTCGAACACGTGATTATTTTCTAGACAGTGCATGGCGACGTGCGAGCGTGCACCCTTTCGCTTTACGGCTAAGGCGTGCTCATGCACGCGCGTGCGCAGACGTTTGTCCGTCATGCCGCAGTAGTTGGCCAGACAGTCTAGACATTTGACGCGGTAAATGACGCCTGACGTGTCTGCAGGTGGTAGCCGGCCCTGGGGTTGCATGAGTATGCGGCGGATGGTGGCCTCCGGTCGGTGTCCAACGCCCACGCTTAGTGGCCTTAGCATGCGCTCAGTGGCTTCGGAGACGTTTCTCACGTAAGGCACACCGCGGAAGGTTGCAGGCCTTTGTGTGTTCTCACGATCGGCCCTCGTATGTCTTTGGTATAAGCATTTGTTTACGAAACTGCGCGGATATCCATTGGCCAGGAAGAGGTGCCATAGGGTTTCACGTTCCCGCAGCTTCTCGGCTTCTGGGCTGCAGTGTGTGTTGATGCGTCGGAAAAGCGTCCGGACGCAGCTGCGTTTATGCGACAGAGGATGGTTACTGTTGTAGTGGAGAGTTACCTCCGTGTTTGTCGCTTTTCGAAAGACACCAGTCTGGTGCGTTCCGTCTTCTTGCCTCGTTACCTGAACGTCGAGGAAAGGAAGCACTCCGTCTTTTTCTTCCTCCATGGTAAATTGAATTTGTGGGAAGACCGAGTTCAGTTGTCTTTTAAAGTTGTTTTTCGCGTCCCGGTGTAAGATGACAAAGGTGTCGTCCACGTAGTTCGTCCAGAACTTCGGTTTGTAGGACTGAAAGACTCGAGCTTCCAGTTCCTGCATGACCTCCTCAGCCAGATAGCCGGAAATCGGAGACCCCATTGGGGTTCCCTGGATTTGCTCGTAAATTTGACCATTAAAAGTGAAGTACGTGCGTAGGCAGTAGTCCAATAGCTCCATCACGGGCTTCCGCTTAAACGGTTTCCCCTC